ATACGTATATATTCCAAAAAACCTGACTTTTAAAAATGAATGAATTTCTCGATAAATATGGAACCGATACAACCACAAACTTTCAACTTATGAAATGGGCGAATGAGTTAAATATATCACCGTTTTAATATTGTATGAGAGATGAAATAAATGATCTCAAATATAAGAAAGGTAAATTTTACGCTATAACAAATATACATACTTCCGATCAAAAAGGAGTTCATCATTCTGCTTTGTACAAAGACTCTGACTTTTATTTCTTCGATTCTTATGGATTAGAACCCACTGAAGAGATAATCCAATTGACTAATAAACCAATCAAATGTTCAACATTTCAAATTCAATTACCGGGACAAAAGGTTTGTGGTCAGCTTTCACTTTGGGTTTTATATCAGTTGAGTTTAGGAAAACAGTTTGAAGAAATTGTAATAAATTTAACTCAATAAAAATGGCGAATAAGTTTGGATTAGGTTCTTTATCTTTAGAAACTAAAAAACCTAACACTACAGCGTGGATAAATAAAGCGAAACCTTACTTTGTGGATCAAATCGGAGACACTCTTTCAAGGTGATTTAGATATGAACAATTTTAGCATAAGTAATTTAAAGTCTCCGGAAAACGATAATGATGCCATTCACAAGAAATATTTAATAGAACAATTAAATTTAATTGAAGTAAATAAAAACCATTTAAACGAAAGAATAGGCGATGTGAAAAGATTCTTCAAACGTCAACTAAATAATAAAGATTTTATTGATGATACTAAACTACAACAAGAAGTAACAAGTTTAAAAAATTTTATTCAACAACAATTAGTCAATGTAGTAGATAAAACTCAGTTACAAACTTTAGATGATAAGATTGCAAAACAAAAAATAGATCTTAAACAACTAATAGCCAATATTAATCCAGGTATAAGTGAAGACAAATTAACCGCATTAGAAAGTAAACTTAGTGATGATAGTGAAATACAAAAACAAATAGTCGCTATTCAACAACAATTAATCAATGTAGTAGATAAAACTCAGTTACAAAATTTAAGTTCATTAATATCTAATTTAGATGATAAGATTACAAAGCAAAAAATAGAACTAATAGATATAAGTGAAGACAAATTGCAACGGGAATTAACTAAATTTAAAACTGAATTACAAAAAGAACTAACAAATATTCAACAAAACATTGATGATAGTGTTATTCAACAACAGATAACCACTATTAATAACCTAGTTTTAAAACAGGATAAAAATATAATCGCATTAGAAAAAAAGTTTCTCAAGAAAGAATCATATTATTTCAATATTCCATTTAGATTTTTGGGTTTTGATAGTGGTTCTATTACTGATAATATTGATAAATCAAAAGACTATGAATATAAAACATATGGATTTACAGCAAATATTCTGTTCAAATTATACTATTCTTCCCAAAAAAATTTTTGATGTTAATTATCCATACATTTTTAAATTTCGAGGAAAACTTACAATTGAAATAACATTCCTA